GATGCGACCAAATATAAGGCCCTGATGATGGTTGATGACCAGCGAAACGAGTTCCAACGTTCTTCAACATTGGCAGAGCTACTCGGTTCCCAGGATAGGTTCATTGCGCTCTGTCTCATTTCGTCATTATCAGTCTTCCAATATGCCGGCTTGTAGCATCTACGCACTGACGGCGATCCGGTTATGTGGAGTGCTGCTAAGACTGTAGGATGATCACTGGTGCCGAGAGGTGCAGAGACTCTTACATCAGATACCCTTGTGTGGCCATTTCTGAATATCAAGTCCAGACATGAGGCCATGACCGAATCAGCTATCCACGTAGGCTGGGCAACATGTTGTACGAGATAAGCTTCGTTTACCATTTCTAGCAACGCGCTCTCCGTCTCAGAGGTAGGGCTTTCTAGAATTAGATGAGACCAGTTGATATGTGGTCAATTAAAGTCACCAACAATGCAGATCCGCGACCCTTTTGCATACTTCTTGACTGTAGCCAACCAGCTGATACCGTTAGCTTGAGAGCCTTGGTATATAAAACCCACGATTGTAGTTGCACTAGTCGTGGCCTTGACTGACAACCAGAGTTGTTCTACACGGCTGTCTTCGGTGTGGGCGCGTTATACCATTGATACAACCAGGCCGTCAGTAGCATATACCGAGACACCCCCATGTATCCTAATGTTACGGTCGCAGCGAAAGACTCGGTACCCAGGTATGCCGATCTCACTATCCTTAACTCACTCGAATAGCCAAGTCTCCGTCACTGCGACAATCGCAGGGCACTTCTGCTCGATAAGTACCTGTATTTCAGACAGTTTATTGAGTAGACTTTGCGCATTTGTTAGCCGAATGTCTACAGCTCTATCAGAGCCTTCTGGGCCGTATGTAGTAGTGGTTTAAACAGGAATCTCCGCTTCTAGACAACCCAAAAATGTATTATGCGGAGGTTATTTTCTCTCGCGGCACGTCGTTGTTTCAGTTCTGCGACTGCATTATACTGCTTTATTCTGTCCTCAGGCGACAGGTCTACCCGCAGCGAGATATTGCTGCCTTCGAGCCTCGAGCCGCGGGTTAGCAGTAGTTTTGAAGTTTGTTCGGACTTGAGGAGCGCCCTCAGTGGTCTAGGCCGTCCGCCTTCTGTACAATTCAGTATATAGGTTTCGTACCAGTCCACACGTTTACTGTATAGTACACTTTCCAGTTTGGAACTGTAAAAGAGCCAAAATTATAATATTTTTTGTTTTATAATATTTTGAACCACATTTTTTTTACCGAATAAAGATTTACTAATATTTCACATCTTCAAAGAAATACAACGGAAATATTTTACTAGGCTGAAAATTGGACAGAAATACAAAATAATTGTCATTCTGTAACCAAGGTTGTTGTTGCTCGTGTTTGATGATCTGCTCAAAGTTTGCTCGGTCTGCCCCACTTTCCCGCTTCATTTCGCGTCCCCTTACAAGTTGGCAGTTGGCATTCGACAAACACGGAGAACCCCTGGATGTTTTACACGAACGTCAGCAACCCATTGATAATTTGTCCGATGGCGAGGTCCTTGTAAATTTCCGAGCTTCGCCCGTAAATCCGTCGGATATTAACACGATTCAAGGAGTCTATCCACTTAAGCCAAAAATCCCAGGAGTTGCTGGTCATGAAGGGGCTGGTTATGTAATTTTGTTTTTATTTTAACGACCAAATCAGGTAGTTGAATGTGGCAAAAATGTTCAGTCATTACAGCCTGGAGATCTCGTTATTCCGGCCTTGCCTAGTGCGGGAACATGGCGAACACTCGCTAATTTCGAGGAAGCACATCTAATAAAGCTCAACCCAAAGCTTCCACTCATGAATGCTGCTGTAATTAACACAAATCCTTCCACAGCTTACCTTATGTTGAAAAACTTTGTGGATCTTCAACCAGGCGACTGCATCATTCAAAATGGCGCTACTAGTAGCGTTGGTATTAACGTTATACAGATGTGTAAACTACTTGGAATCCATTCAAGTAATTCTTTCTTGAATTTCAACTGTTTTAGTTAATCTGTTCCGACCGAGATCCACTCATGAAGCAACCGAGGCGACCCGTAAATTGCTGCTTGACTACGGCGCGTCACTCGTCCTTACTGACGATGAACTTAAACAGTCCACTAAAGCCAAAGAGTTGGGTAAAGTGAGGCTGGCATTGAATTGTCTCTGTGGAAAACCCGCGCTTTCACTCATGAAACAGCTCGATAATGGTGGTGTACTTGTGACTTACGGTGCCATGACCCGACAGCCAATTCCTGTACCGGCTGGACCTCTAATTTTCAAAGATATCCAACTGCGCGGTTTCTGGGTCTCAGGATTTGCCAAGAAACCCTCTTTTTTGAAGAAGCGCTTGGAAATGTTTGACATTGTGTCCCAGTGGATGATTGACGGCAAGTTACACCTGCCGCCGCATGTCAAGGTGCCGCACACTGACTGGAAGAAAGCTATGGCCGAAGCTTCTTTTAAAGATGGAACTCCTTGTGCACCAACCAAAAAGAATGTCCTTGTTTTTCCAGAATGTAAATAGACGCATGCTTGCACTTCGTACCTTTCTATGATATATTGTCAACTTTCTGCCGCAACTGTTTTGCATTGTAAAGCATATCTGATCCCCTCGAGATTTCTGTCTCCTCTGTGAAATATTCTCTAGTTATTTTAGCAATCTTGAAAATATTACATCTCTCTTTCAAATGTTATAAGCTACTTTTCTTCATCAGGAAAAATAGGCATGTGATGAATGATAGTGTTGTTTGGAATCGTTTTTATGCCCTCTTTAAGAGGGTCAGCTGGAGGCCGTTTTTTTTTTTAATTTCGAGTGTTGCGCTCATGCCGCTTAGGAAACTATCGTAGTTTTTGAAACGCTTATAATGTAGAATTATCATCCTTTGATTGGGCTGTATAATGGCTTTCTTCGGCTGTAGTCCGTCCTAGTATAAATGGTTTTCGGTTCTAAGATACTGCGAACCATTGTATTCATGTTCTGTAACCAACGGTTAGATCTGTAACAACCACTGTCAATTTGCCGTTCTATTTCGAATGCAGGCAACTACCGGGTCTTGCATTCGCGCTATTTCTGCCTTAACTGCGATAGTTTGCTAACGAGGACGGACTTTCAGAGACATATCGTCGCAGAGAGACCCATTTCTGCTCAGCTAAGTTCATGACCGAAATATCTTAGGCGGCGGAGTTTGACTGCATCGACAACACGACCAATATCCGTATGTATCTGCATCTTAAACTGCGCACTCCTACAAGCATCAGTGATTTTTCTGTGCTGCTGAATATTAGTCCACCTGTATGGTGTTTGACCCAGTAGAGAGTTCCAATCGCACTGGCTTTTGTCGATGCCATGACATTAGTCGTAGCCTGTCAGTTTTGAACGTTCACGAAGGTCCAACTGAAGGGCTCCTTTTGATTGTCTGTCGTGATCGAAATAGATTGAGTCGCGAAGCTCAGTACGTACGAGCCAAACAGTGGAAGAGAGAGAATTAGCGAGTGCCCTAGAGTTGGGCTTTATTCGTATTACAATTGGCGTATAAGAACTGAAAGGGGATAACGAGTGGTTAGAGTAATATAGGCAATTAGAGAACATTCGTTAGGGAGCAGGGCTAAAAATTAATCAACGAGGATAAGAAGGCAGAGGTGAACGAGGGTCAGAGTAATATTAGCACGACGTTGTTTGTTGTATTTTCCATTTATACTGATTGTTTACCAGTCAGTACTCTGCATATTATTCGAAAGTTGCGTACGAGTGTTATGTGCGCTCATTCGCGTTCCTCGCAAAATGCGTAGTAATCAGGCGTAAAGTGGACACTGATTAGTTGGGCGTCACGATTTTCGGGAACGCTATGTCAACTCAGTCATTTTTTTGACCATCATAGTGTTATTTTGCTTCTTCCCCCTTTTATCCTTTCGCCATGGCTGACCGGCGCGCCCATCCGTAATAGAGAATGAAAGAGTAGCTACGATCTGAACAGACTTGTCTGAAGAAGAAGAAGAAGAAAGGCTCGTCGGAAAAACAAGTTGTTACTTTCAAACGGCATATCCTTAAT